TGGTTGATAAAAAAATCTCACTAAAGTCACTCACACGACTTCTATGCTAACTTTTGCAAATATACTCTCTGAGTTCGTAAATCTTTATGGCAATACATTTTAACAAATGCACTGTGGTTTACATTTAAAAGCACTGTGTAGTTTATAGTAAAAAGCAATTATGATTCACTTATCTGCTCTTCTGGTTAAGCAGGAGGTACTCACTCTATGGTAGGGGGAAAATATGCAATTAGGAACAATAAAGACTGCTGTTTAAATTTAGAGTCTCATCCACCTTTCTCTGAGTTAGAGGCCTCTTTCTAATAAGATTAATTTTACTGAATGCATTATAATGGATATAGGGGCTAAATATATTAATAGGATAGAAATCAAAGTGTGGCAGTACTCTCTATTAGATATATTTACTAGGATATTCTCATATGTATTCCTGGAAGTCTCCAACCTAGGAATAACTCATTATATCACCCTTTCTCAGTCCTTTACAAATAATTCTTTTATTTTCTTACACAATCAGATAGTGGTCTCATGCTGTATGCAGTTGTTCAAGTAAACACTCAGATCACTCTGATGTCCTTTGTCATCTTCATCTTCCATATCAAAAGATATCTAATAGTTGAATTTAGCTTTTTGCTCTCATATGCTTAAGACTTTCCTGCATTAATTTATCTGACTCTAAGTGTGTCCTTCATATTGTAGCCTAAATGAATACTAGAAACACTGATACAAATATTTCTTTAAGCATTTGGGTTATTTCAGATTTCTTAAAATTATGTATAAGTTCCTTTTAAAAAGTGTTCCCGGTGTATATTATAGATCTACTTTCTGCTACAAATGGTCCTTTGCATAATATTCCAGCTGTATGTTGCTCTCTTTTTTCCAGATTTTTTGTTCATCCTGAAAAATCCCTCCTTTTGCTGCCTAGTTTATTCATTATTTAAATTAATTCAAGTTATACTTGTCATACACTACTCTTTAAAGGGTTACCTGATCTCTTCCTACTGTAATTCATAGCTCCTTTCACATGATATTTTTGCATTAATTATTCCACTATGTTATCACTTATTGATTTGCTTTCTAACACACCACTATGTTATCACTTATTGATTTGCTTTCTAACACACTCAAAAAAATAATATGTTACTCATTCCACTTTGTATCTCACATACTAATTCAGATTTTTCACTGTTTAATATACATTTATTGACTGAGATATTTAGTGGAAATTAGGAGGTATAGACTACAATTCAGACTTTATGCTAATTTTAACCCTGGAATCTAAACAGCATATTAAATTTTACTGTGTCTATAAATTGAATAGTGGTTATGAGTCTTGCAGTTCTTAAAATTTACTATATCTTAAATATGAACTAGAACCAAAACTCAGGGAAAAATTATTGATATTGACTAATATTAAGAGGAGTAACTGTTATACAGCTCTTTTGCAAAATTTGTGTGTTCACTTTAGAAAATTAGTATGATTAAAATCAGATCTGATTGCAAAACCAACATGTTGCAATTTATTTTTTACTATATGTGATCAATGTACATAGGTTTGCAATTTTTTTTGATTTTTTGGGTCACACCCAGCAATGCACAGGGGTTACTCCTGACTCTGCACTCAGGAATTACTCCTAACGGTGCTCAGGGGACCATATGGGATGCAGAGAATCAAACCCGGGTTGGCCGCGTGCAAGGCAAACACCCTACCCGCTGTGCTATCGCTCCAGCCCCTGCAATTATTTTTGTTCCTGGGATACAGTTTGGATTCTGGTTTGAAAATAAATACTAGTACTGTCTGTAGCACTGTCCTCCCATTGTTTCTCGATTTTCTTGATCTGGCAACAGTAATGTCTCCATTGTGAGACTTGTTATTGTTTTTGTCATATTGAATACGCCATGGGGAGCTTGCCAGGCTTTGCCATGTCGGCAGGATACTCTTGGTAGTATGCCGGGCTAGAGCAATAGCACAGCGGGTAGGGCATTTGTCTTACACGTGGCTGACCCTGGTTCAATTCCTCCACTCTTCTCTTGGAGAGCCTGGCAAGCTACCAAAAATAAGGAATAATTTAACAAAATATTTTAGCTTTGCCTCTTAAACTCACACTATTATACATTTAATTGCTTCTCATCTTCTATGAAATATTGAATGTTATGTTTATGTTTACTATTATGAAATCTAAGGCATGTTTTGCCTGAATTTCTTATGACTTTTTAAAATTATTTATTTATTTATTGAATCACTGTGGGAAAAGTTACAAAGCTTTCAGGTTTAAGTCTTGGTCATGCAATGATCAAACAGCTTTCCCTTCACCAGTACTTATTTTTCACCACTAAGAACCCCAAAATACCACCCTCCCACCCCTCCCAACGCCTGTGAGGCAGATGAATTCTACTTAACTCTCTATTTACTTTGATTACATTCATTATTTTAACAGAAGATGAACCATTATTGTTTAGAGTTTACATCAACAATCAGAACTATTGAAAAAGAATTGTGAAATAATTTGTTTTCTACAGCTGGTTATGAGAACCATATGATGTCTGGATTTCTGATTTCTAATATTTTATTTATTAAGCCTGGAGGGATTTCTGCCAAGAGCCAGATAATTACGAGATTGGTTTTGTGATTCTGGAGCCATGGCCGTGCCGGAGAGCCACTCCTGGGGGGCAACTCGTGACCTCGGTAGGGTGTGAAGGACAAGCCGGAAATGACTCCCTTCCCATGAGGTTGCATTTGTCCCGTCACTGCTGGCTCATGCCTGGCTTTCCAAAAAGCTCTGAGGCAGCAACCATCTTGCTGCCCAGGGGGAAAAAGGCAGAAGGGAGCTACACCCCTTCTCTCCCTGGGAGGCATGGTATGGTGGATTAACGCTTAGTCCATTCGTTTTTCTTCCATAAGCTGCAGGGCTCTGCATTAAGTCCTTGTGCCTCTGGAGATTACTTTTTTTTTTTATTTTACTTTTACTTTCTGAAGAATAGGCAAATTTATCTGAATAGACTTTATGAGATAATTATGTACATGTGTCTATAAATATTTAAAGTTGAAGTAACTAAAGTTCAAAAAATATATAGTAAACTTCTGGTATTTAGCAAAAGCAAGTAAGTAGTAGATCATTTTATAATGTATAAAAGTAAAGAATCTTTATGTTGTATGCCTGACAGTAATATAGTATATTAATTATATCACATAAAATAAGGTTTAAAAATGATGAGAATTTTCATAGTGATAAATACATAATGACAATTACAAGTCTCAAATATTCAACCTAAATTTTCACATCAAGGAATTAGAAAAATAAGACACAACTAAGCCCAAGTTAACAAAAAAGAAAAGCATAATACTGATTAGAGTATAAATAAGTGAAATAGAATTTTAAAGGATTAGCATAAATGAACTTTAAAAGGCAATTCTTTAATAAAATTGACAAAATTTTAAGTGAGTCACTCAGTAAATAAATAAGTAAGAAACTATGTAAGAAGATGAAATTGGAAATAAAAGACTCCACAAGAAACAAATTTCCAGGGCCAGATGATTTTTTTGTAGAGTTTTATCATTTACTTTCAGTGAAGCAATATAGTTTCTAGTGAAAGAAATTTGAGAGAGGATACATGTTGAAGAGAGAACACTGCCTTCTGCAGAGTGTAAAAGAGGAGAATGACTTTTGAGACTTTATGCACAATTTCTCCAGATTGTCTTGACCTGGAGTTGTCTACATACATAAATGTTAATTTGGGTGTCAACCTTGAGAAAGCTTTGCATTCTTAATAGCTCTTTTATTTCAGGACCCTTAGATTCTCCTGTAGCTTCTTCTTTTCTGAGAAGTTCACCCATCTCTGGATCATGACTATTTCTCCATCTCCAAAGAGCTCTATGTTTGCATCTCAAAAGAGTGTGGTCCTCAAGACTTTGGGCTACTTCAGAGCTTGACAATTTCCTCTTAAATTTTAGTATTTGTGGGGGCTGGAGCAATAGTACAGCGAGTAGGGCATTTGCCTTGAGCACAGCCGACCTAGGTTTGATTCCCAGAATCTCATATGGTCCCCTGAGCACCCCCAGGAGTAATTCCTGAGTGTATGAACCAGGAGTAACTCCTGTGCATCTCAGGGTGTGACCTAAAAAGAAAAAAAATTAGTATTTGCCTAGGCTATGACTGACTTTCCTTTCTTGAAAACATGTTGATGCTCCAAATGGAAATTACCAGTCCTGACTCATGCCACACCTTTCTTCATGTGGCTCTGGTTGATCAAACAGAAAGAAGGAAGCTATTTTCTATATGATTTTCTCATACAGCAAAAACCAATGACAATTATTTTTAAATCATTCCAAAAATCACAAAGACTTCCAAACTTATTTTTATGTAGTTAACATTACTATGATAGCAAAACAAAGACACTATAAGAAATAATCACAGAGTAGTATTCCTAATCAACACAGATATAAAAATCTTGAACAAAATCCAGCTGAATCCAGCGGAAGAGTAAGACAATCACACACCTTGATCAAGTAGTATTAATCAAGAGATGCAGGGATATTTTATAATATGCAAATCAATAAATATATTATATCATCTTACCAGAATGAAGAATTAAAAATCATATGATGATTTGATTAAAAACAGAAGGAGCACTTTTCAAATTTAAACATCCTTTCACAAAATTAAATATAGAGTAAAGATATTTCAATATAATAAAAGTTATATATGGCAGGACCATTGTTAAAATCATTTTCGCTGGTGAAAAACTAAACGGCAGAGGTTTTTGGACTGAACAAGAGATTCTACCTTCTAATTGGTTGAAATACAGCTTTACAAATCCATCTTTACCATCTTTACCATCTTTATAAATCCATCTTTATAGGTGACTGTTGGAATGGATAGTTAATCACTTAACATGTCCCACTAGAACATCTAACACTCATTTTCTGAGATTGTAAGTCTATTGGTAGTCTATTGTAAGTTATTTACAATAATGTTTGTGGTCTTAGAAATGTCAGTGTGAAAATCCTTTCCCAGTTCATAAACATGATAACTGGGTATTCAAATGCTTGTGTGACATATGCCTCCCTTAAAACTTGTTATGCACTTGACACATTACCCTTCTGATGTAAAATTAAGAAAAAAAAAGTAAATATCAATGTGAAATTTCAAGTTTAATCAGTTATTTTAGAAATATAAGAGAAGAAATAATTGTTCATATTGTTTCAAGTATTGGAGACAGCCTCCTTGTTGCAACTTTTATTTCCCTTGATCACTTGATCACTTGACTTCCTGTTAATCATCAATTTGCTTGAGCAGGCTCCAGTAATGTCTCCATTTCTCCCTGTTGTGTGCTAGTGTAGCCCAATGTCATCTGTTCACTCTAGAAACACGAAGAACCTCAAACCAATCTTTCATGATCTTGATGAAGAAGTCTGACCATCTGGTAGGTGGGCAGCCACTCGGTCTTTTGACATCCCGTGGAATCCAATCGGTAAAAGCTCTAGTCCAGTGGTCGTCTTTAAATCTCATTACGTGACTCGCCCATCTGATTTTTGACATCTGGACAAATGAGACAGCATCCCTAATTCTTGATCATCGATGGAGTTTGGAACTCTGGATTCTTTCTCTCATTTGAGTGAAACATGATATTCCAAGCATAGCTCTTTCAATTCCTCTTTGGGAGACTCGAATAGCGTTCTCATCCTGTTTGCGTAGGGCCCAGGTTTCTGAGGCATATGTTAATGCAGGAAGAACAGTGGAATCAAAGAGATGTGCCCGAAGCTGGAGATTCTTTGTCCTCTTAACTATTTCTTCGATGCTCTTGAAGGCCTTCCAAGCCGCTCTCTTCCTCCTGGGCAGCTTGGGTGCCAGGTTATTTGTCATGTTGACTTCTCGACCTAGGTACACATAGCTGTTGCATTCGGAGATGGTTGTTCTCTTGAGAGTGAATGGGGCATCAGGAACGAGGCTTTTTCTCATAAACATTGTGTTCGTAAGATTCAGCTGTAGTCCTACCTTTCCACACTCATGGTCAAAGTCGGCCAGCATGTGTGTCGCTTGGCTAATGTTTGGTGTTATTAAAACAGTGTCATCAGCATAGCGGAGGTGGTGTAGTTGCTGACCATCTATCTTCACTCCCATTCCTTCACATTCCAGTTGTCACATGATGTTCTCAAGGGTGGCACTGAAGAGTTTCGGTGAAATGGTATCACCCTGCCGAAACCCTCTCTTGACATAAATGATTACTTCTTTGTAGAATGGTGAGATCCTGGTAGTGAATCCGTAATACAGCTCACAGAAGATCTAGATGTATTGAGCTTGAATGCCCTGATTGGCTAGGGCTTCAATGACCGCTTCCATCTCAACAGAATCAAAGGCCTTCTTTAAATCAATGAACATTAGACAGAGCGGCATCTTGAACTCCCAAGAAACCTCAATGAGCTTGGTTATCGTGTGGATATGGTCGATGGTGCTGAATCCTTTGCGGAACCAGGCTTACTTGCATGGTTGTCCTTCATCTAGTGTTCTGCCAATCCTATTCAGGATGACTCGAGTGAACAACTTGTAGATGAAAGACAATAGGCAGATCGGGCGATAGTTGCCAATGTCATGAATGGCTCCCTTCTTGTACAGTAGTACAGTCCTGCTGGTTTTCCATTGGGACGGAAACTTGCATTCAGACAGGTAGCACATGAAGAGCTGAGCCAGCAGTAATACATAATAATAATAATTAATAATCCTTACAGATAATAATTCTAGTGCAAGTGTGACCACAAAATAGACTACAGGACCAGGAAGATGCCTCAAGAGCTGCATGGTGCTTTGCATGGCTGGAGAATGGGCAGTTTATCACATGGTCACATGGTCCCCTGGGTACTGCCAAGGATCAACCCCTAGCATTGAGGCTGAAATAGCCCCTGAGTACTGCTAGTTGCAGAACTAAAATACAATCATTAAATGATATTTTTTTCTAAAAATTTCCTAAAATAATTTATTTCCTAATTAAATAACTACCACAGTCCAGCTTAATATGAACAATTATAACTGATTTCTTAGAACCATTTGTCTCCACTTGCTTTAGGATCATATATATGAGGATGTATTTATATGTTCTTGAGACTACCTTAATGAATTATTCATGTGCCCTATTAATTATACCTAAGTGAGTAATTTAAGACCATAGATTTTAAGTATTATTTTCCGTCTCCTGATTATGTCTTTTTTTTTCCTCTTCTAAACATTTTATTTGCACATAAAGCCATTTTTTAAAAATTTTTATTAGTGAGACACCATGAGGTACAGGTGTAGACTTACAAATTTTGTGCTTGGGTTTCAATTAATCATCAGGGAGATGCAGATCAAAACCACAATGAGATATCATTTCACACCACAGAGACTGGCCCACATCCACAAGAACAAAAGCAAGCGGTGCTGGTGCGGATGTAGCGAGAAATGGACATTCCTTCACTGGTGGTGGGAATGTCGACTGGCTCAGCCCTTTTGGAAAACAGTATGGATGATTCTCAAAAAATTAGAAATTGAGCTCCCATTTGTTCCAGCAATACCACTCCTGGGAATATATCCCAGAGAGGCAAAAATATATAGTCGAAGTGACATCTGCATTTGTTTGTTCATTGCAACACTCTTTACAATAGCCAGAATCTGGAAAAAACCTGAGTGCCCAAGAACAGATGACTGGTTAAAGAAACTTTGGTACATTTTCACAATGGAGTACTATGTAGCAGTTAGAAAAGATGAAGTCATGAAATTTACATACAAGTGGTACTACATGGAAAGTATCATGCTAAGCGAAATGAGTCAGAAAAAAAGGGATAGACATAGAAAGACTGCATTCATCTGGGGAACATAAAGTAACAAAATAGACTAACATCCTGATTATGTCCTAGGGTAAATATTTTTTAGAAATAGCTAATTTATGTTTTGCTTTGGCATTAAATTGTGTTAAACTTCTGTGATTTCTTCCAAGTTTTGGATTATAACTCGTACTACTCAATTAATAGTTGACAAATATCAGAATCTGCATTCATAATTTCATAGCAACAGTAAACATTACTGTAGAACTTCATGTCTTGAACTTGGTTGTATCTCTGAGGTGATGTTAATTGTTTGAGTGTTTAGAAAATTAATTGCCTTTGCCAAAGGCAAATCTTAGTATTGTAGACAAAAAATGTTTGTAATAGAAAAGATATAAAGACTATCAAAATTTACCTTAATTTAGGTTCTACTAGTGACATGTTGTGATATAATAGTTGCGTAATATCAAACACTGTAGCACGGTTCTAGCACTGTCCTCCCGCTGTTCAGCGATTTGCTTGAGCAGGCACCAGTAACATCTCCACTGTGAAACTTTTTTGTTACTGTTTTTGGCATATAGAATACGCCACAGGGAACTTGTCAGGCTCTGCCATTTGGGCAGAATACTCTCTGTAGCTTGCCGGGCTCTTGAGAGGGACGGAGGAACCCAGGTTGAACCCAGGTTGGCGGCGTAAAAGGCAAACGCCCGATCCGCTGTGTTACTAAATTTTTTCCCACTTACTTTTTGGACAGTGGTAATTGTCTGCTACTTTAAAATAAATATTAGAAATAAAAGATGCAAATATTTACTGGAATTTATTATATATTATGATTTAATTGTTATGACATGATAAAAATGATAATTAAACATGTTAATAAATTTTTTAATTAAGAAGGCAATATAATTAGATTACATGGGTTCTATTTGGTTGGAAGATTGTCTTAAAGAGGAAATTATAATGGCAGTATGCTATAAAGATGTATACACATTAGAAAATATGAAACTTTTATAAAATCTTTAACTTAAAAGTAGGAATTTTTAATTATAAAAACATCTTTATTTAAATGGCTTTATTATCTGTCTGACTGTTTCTTAAGTACTGCTATTACTTTATTTCTTTGTATAAACAAATGGAATTCTTACATCTTATTACATGAGATAATATTCTCACTAAATGAGATAAGTTATATCCTAGCTCAAATATACTAAGGATTCATTTTATTTATTATTTTTTTTTATTTTTTGCTTTTTGGGTCACACCCAGTGATGCTCAGGGGTTACTTCTAGCTTTGCACTCAGGAATTACTCCTGGCGATGCTTGGGGGATGCAGGGGATTGAACCCAGGTCGGCTGCATGCAAGGCAAATGCCCTACTTGCTGTACTATTGCTCCGGTCCCCTAAGGATTCATATTATTTATTTTTTTTTAATTATTTTTTTTTTATTAGTGAGACATCATGAGGGACAGTTGTAGACTTACAAATTTTTGTGCTTGGGTTTCAATTACACAATGATCAAATACCCATCCTTCCACCAGTGCCCATTTCCCACCACCACGGATCCCAGTATCCCTCCCACCCCCCATCACCCATCCCACCCTGCCTCTGCGTCACGGAATTCCCTTTTGTTCTCTCTCTCTTATTGGGTGTTGTGGTTTGCAAAAGAGGCAATGGATAACAATCATGTTTGGTCTATAGTCTACTTTCAGCATGCTTCTCCCATCCTGGGAGGATCTTCCCAACACCTTTATTTGGTGTTCCTTTCTCTATCTGAGCTCCCTTTTCCTCTAGCATGTGTGGTTGGCCTCCAAGTCATGGAGTAAACCTCCTGGTACTTATCTCAACTATTCTTGGGTGTTAGTCTCCTATTTTATTATTTTATGTTCCCCAGATGAATGCAGTCTTTCTATGTCTATCCCTCTCTTTCTGACTCATTTCGCTTAGCATGAGACTTTCCATATTGTACCACTTGTATGTAAATTTTATGACTTCATCTTTTCTAACAGCTACATAGTACTCCATTGTGTAAATGTACCAAAGTTTCTTTAACCAGTCATCTGTTCTCAGGCACTCAGGTTGTTAAAAGATTCTGGCTAATGTAACGAGTGCTGCAATGAACAAACAATTGCATATGTCTCTTCGACTATACATTTTTGCCTCTCTGGGAAATATTCCCAGGAGTGGTATTGCTGGGTCAAATGGGGGCTCAATTTCTAATTCTTTGATAATCATCCATACTGTTTTCCAAATGGGCTGAACCAGATGGCATTCCCACCAACAGTGAAGGAGTGTCCCTTTCTCCCCACATTTGT